CACACACACACACACACACACACACACGGGTACAGCACAATCACCACCTCCACCAGCCCTGGAAAGAGGACTCAGTGGCCTAGGTCCATGACCCTCCTGTCTTTGACTCTGCGGCCACAGATTGTGTGACTGAGACCTCTTCCAGCCTCCGCTTGGCGGCGCTGACCGCCCCCCCCCCGCCCCCCTGTCCCCCACTGGCATCCGGGAGCACGAGTGCGGAGCTGCCTCCTGCTGGACGGAGTGGTAGCAGCAAGCAGAAGGCTCGATGGCAGCTACCCCAAGGTGTTAGCGCCCACCAGGCAGTGTGACCCTAATGGCTGAAGGGTACTGAGAGCTTCAGGCTCCTTCCTGCACGTTTCTTCCGGGAGGGAAGGCCCAACCTCCCTTTTCTCGGTATCTTGGTGGCTGCCTGGGCTCTCCTTGGATCCCTCAGGCGACCCTGGAGCCCTTCACTCACCCTGCCCCGGAAGGGATTTAAGGCATGGGGTGCAAAAGCAGTGTCGTGAGGGCAGAGGGTGCCTCTCGGTCCAGCTCACTGGACGCTGTGCCTGGCTCAGCATTGGAAACCACGGGGCAGAGGCAAGAAAGAGGAGCGGCCGGGCCACCTCAGACCAGAGAGCGCCCACAGCCCCAGAGCTGTTGGGGTAAGGGTGTGCTGGGAGGGGTCACAGACAGTGGTGGGCTGAGGTGGCTCATGCCAGCCCCTCGTGACAGCCTGGGAGAGCAGATGTCTCCTTCCAGATCCAAGTTCCGTGAGGGACGCTGAAATGGGTGTAAAAACTCCCAGCACGGAAAGTGACAGAACTCAAGTCAGAGCTTTTCCCCTCCCCACACAGCCAGTTTCAAAGTGCGGCTGATTGGAGGAGGGGCAGGGACAATTAGCTTAGCTAACTGAACTTTTGGTTTCCAGTTGGGCGACTCTGATATGGAAATGAGTTCCAGAGAGGGGCCAGGATTGCTCAGGGCAGAGCTGGGTCCACAACCTGAGCCCCCTGCCTCCCAGGCCTGGGCTTTAAATAGACGGGCCATCTTGAAAGCGAGGAGTGGGGTTCAGGACTGGTGTCTGGCCCACTGGCCTTATTCCTTCCACTCTCCACACAGGGCAGTTCCGCTCTGTCCCAGACCCTGGGCCTGGGGCCTCTGAGACACGTGAGCCAGGCTACAACATGGTGTGGCTCATAATGTAATAGGGAGGCAGAGGAGGACGTTGCCCTCCTGTGGGGAGCGGCGTGTGGCTGTCAGGACGGCTGCTTGGGGCTGCTGGAGCAGAAGGGGAGAGATATCAGCCTGGGTGGAGGCTGAGCAGCGGGGGAGCTGAGCCCAATGCTCCAGGAAGGGAAAGTGACTGGACCTGTTCACCTGGGGTGTGTGGGAGGGAGGGAGGAGTGAGGAGGAGGCAGGAGTGTGGCCTGAAGGCCCGAGTCACAGCCTGCGCGGAGAGGTGTGGAAGCCTCGCAGGAAGCCTCTGTCCTGGGTCCCGGGCAACACCGCAGATCAGCAGGGGTCACCACATCTCCAGGCTGGCAGGGCGCTGGGACACCGGAAGTGCCAAGGAGTGCTGGACAAACGTCTCAGTCCTCCTGTCGCCGGCCTTTCAACACGAGTAGACCCCTGACATGTGGGAGTACCTTTCTAGAACCCCCTTTCCCAGCCGCCCCAAGCACACCTGCACCGAAGAGCGCGAGGCCCGGGCCTTGTTGAGCGTGCGCCTCCGCTCCCAGCGGTGGATGGAGTCCTGCACCTCCACGCTCAGCTGCCGGGTCACTGTGATCTTGTCATAGTTCTTGATGTGCTCCAGCGCCCCATAGGTGGTGGTCAGATAGTAGGAACCTGCAGGGGTTGAAGGAAGGGGCTGAGCCAGGATTGCCTTGGCCCACCCCCAAAGGGAGGGGCTGACCCAAGCCTGCCCGACCACAGCCACCAATGTTCGAGGCCCCGCCCACCCCTCCAAGCCCCACCCCCATTGGGGGGTTGTTTGTTGGGGTCCACCTGCCAAGCAGTCCCCTGCTTCAAAGGCTGGCTTCTCCCTTTTGCCCTTTCCAAAGCCTCAAAAAGCCCCTAAATTGCAGTCCCGCCTGGAACTTCCCCTTTGCCATGAAACACTTGCTTATTTTTAAAGTGCAGTTTAAAAATGAGTTTTTAAGTATTTTTAAATTTAAAGGAAACAGAAATGTGTATGCTTTCAGCGCTGAGGAAGGAGTGACTGGGAGGCAAGGTGGCCAGAGACTTCTCACTGCGTATCATAAACAGTGTGGGCTTTACATTTTTGAGCCATGCAAATATATTATGTTCTAAAAATGAATTTTTTTTTTGGTACCAGGGATCGAACTCAGGACCTTGCGCTTGTGAGGCGGGCGCGGTGCCACTGAGCTAAAACCCAGCTAAAAACGATTTTTAAAAGGTGTAGAGGATGAGCTGAGGATTTAGCTCAGTGGTTCCGGCCCCTGATTCACAAGTGCAAGAACCCGAGTTCAATCCCTGGTACAAAAAAAAAAAAAAAAAAAAACCCAAAAAAATGTAGAGGGAATTCTCATTGATGACATCATGTTTTTAAAGAGTTAAATATGTAAAATTTTGAATTATTCAGCTTTCCATTGCTTTTTACCTTCTTAATTCATGCATATTTTAATCACTAATGTTGCCTGAAGTCGTTGAAGCTTCAAAATACTTTAAACTGCAAAATTCACCTGTGGTCTCAAGGTCAAACGTGGTATTTTGCATGGATGCTTCATTCACTGCCCTTGGCTTGTTAGAGGCTTTGATTAAAAAGTTTGAGAAGTCCTAACCCTGCTGAGTCCCTCACTTTAAACAGGAGAGACCAAATTCTACCAGGGAATGTGATTTGGCGGAGGTCACACTGTGATCAGGGGGAGGAGAAGGAGAAGGAGGGCCCTGTGCTCTGCCCTCTCCGACCTCCAGCACTGCCCACTTCCATGGTGCTGCTTCCTTGGGTTTCTCTACACCTTGCCAGACCTTTCTCTCCTGCCCTCAAGGGCCAGGACAGTGATTTTTGCCAAGAGGCAGATCTGCCAGGGGCCCACCCAATCCAATTTCCCTTCCCTCACTAAGTGAATGCCACTACTGTCACTTGGGGAAGTAACACCAGGCTGAAAATATTCACCTCCAGGACTCCCTGGGAGGACAGGACAGGGGCCTTGCTCTGCTCTTGGATGCGAGTGGAACACAACACTCTGGGTGGGGCCTTTAGAAAGGGACATTCTGGATATGTCCTTTTGGCTTTGCCTGGCCTCCTCCCTCTTGCCTGCCACACAGAGATGAGCCCAGAGGCACAGTAGCTGTCTTGTGATCAAAGGGGACAGGCACAAGGACAAAGGGCCGTGCACTAAGGAGAGAAGCAAAGAGCCAAGTCCGTGATTCCCTGATTCCCTGCAGGCACGACTGAGGGAGAGCTGCTGCCTTATGGACTGCTTACGCTGGTCTTCATGATGTAAGGGACAAACTGATCCCTGGCTCTGGTCCAAGCCATTATTAGTTACACTGTGCTTGCCTGCAGCCCAAAGCGTGCCTGCTGCAGTGTCTGAAGCTGCCTACTAGTCCCACAGACTCTACCTGGGAGGGACACTCCCACCTGCGAGCTGGAGGCTGGGGGTAAGACAAAGGGTTTGGTGGCTGTAGGCTCACTCACCCTTTCACAGCAGTGCAGGACAGAGACATTTTTTGAAATAAGAATAGCAAGGCTAACATAGAAACTGGCTTCATGTCCCTAAGCAGAGAAGAGCCACTAAGTCACTCCGTGCCTCCCTTCCTAGTTGAGCTCAGAGCTGGAGTGGCCAGGAGCTGTCCCTTGTGCTTGTGCGCTGGTTGAGAACATTCCTTTCAGAGGCAGCACCTGGCCTCTCCCTGTGACCTTGGTGGCCACTCAGCTACTCTCCTCTACGCCTCAGTTTCCTCATCTGCAAACCATACTGTATGAAAAGTGAATGGGTTGAACACAGGTAAGGTGCAGGGCACAGTAGTGTGAGGGTAACGAGTGGTTGTTATGTGACTTCGGGGAGGTGTTCAGAAGGCTCCTCACCCTCTTAGGTAAAAGGAGGCGCTCCAGGCCTTGCCAGGGACTTCTTGCTAGTTTGGTTTCCAAGCAGCGTCCCTTTACCTGAGGACATGCAGTCCCTGTTCATACCGCTAGGTGGCGGGCAACACCACTGTGGGTTTTGGAGCTTTGTTAATCTCTTCCTAGGTTGGAAAAGCCCACTGCTCCTAATAAGATACCAGCCTGGCATGGCCACCGGTGAGCCAGCCCGGGGAGTGGCCGTGGGCCGTGAGGACATTGCAGGAGAGGCTGAGCTGGCTCCACCCAAGTGCCCAGCAGGTACCCAGGTCTCCTGGTTGCCTGAGATTTCCCAGAGTGGTGGAAGCAGGGGTATCCAGGCCTCATCAGCTTTCCCTACTGCTTCTGACATCTAACTCCCAATACAGCCCATGCTGGCCTCCAGCTTGTGATCTTTCTGCCTCAGCCATGGAGTGCTGGGCTTCCCTGGCTGGATGTGAAATTATCTTGTTTGTTTTTAAAAAATCTGTTGAGGTCTGTTTCTTCCCAATGGAAGGAACTCCATATAAAACTTCACTGTTACCTGGCCAGAAGGAGCACAGAGCTGCTAAATGAGAGGATGTGGCCCTGACCCAGGAACCTATTAATTGATGAGAGATGGATGAATAGTGCTTTTCTTGATGATGAAGAAGAGCCTTTTAAATATGAAGGCTGTTAACTCTGGTGCACTGTCTGGACAAGTTGCTGTCCCTCTTCAGGACAAATCCTAGGGAACAGGGTGCTTAGGGTTTCTGTGTGAGACAGGTCAGTGGGCTTGGGGGCCTCTGCCCACCTCCTCAGCCCCTGGGTACTGCCATGTGCATGCTCTGGGCTGGTAAAAACTAAGAGGAAGTCGGAGAGGTGAAGGCCCAAAGTGCAGGGTGCTGGGTGAGGCACTCTCTCATTCTCATGTGGCTGTTGTTGGCCTTGCCTGCCTCACCCTACACTGCAGCCAGGGTCTGGCAGGCGTGGCAGGGGTGGGGGTAGGAGACTGGTGGATGGTGGACGGGCTGGCAAATGGGGGGATGGAGGAGAGGGTGGATGGATGATATATCAGTGGATGGATGGATGGATGACTGCATGGATGGACAGATCGGTAGATGGATGGATTGGTGAGTAGAGAAGTAGGTGGACGGATAGGTGGATGAGTGGATGGGAGAACGGGTGCATGGGTGGATTATGAATAAGTGGATGGCTGGGTAGAGAAATGGGCTACAGAAGTCTGGCTTCTCCTGAATTCCTAGATCTCCTGGAAGACAAGTGGTCACAACTTTAGGAAAAGTTTAAAGAGGAAAACCCAGTTAATTCCAGGGTTTTTGGAGCCACAAGCCAGAGTGACCTATGATGGCAAAGCTCGTGGCTTCGACACTCCCTGAGCTGCCGAGAACTCACAGAGTCATCTGCATCAGACTTTTACCCTGGATTCTAGCACATACTAAAAATACGAACACACGCAAAGAAGGTCATCTACTTTTAAAAACCGAAAAGGCCAAAGGGGACCCTCGGGGCCTAGGAGTCTCCTCCATTCTTCAAGGCTGACATCTCAAGGGCACCCTCAGAGATCATGCTGGGTCAGCTGTGCCTCAGCGTTTCTTGGTGGAGGGGTGGCTGGGGCTCAGTGGGAGGAGGAAGTGGTGGGAAGGAGGAGAGGGGAACGGAAACTGAGGGGGGTACAGCAGCCCCCCATCTTAGCGGGACCCAGGGCCCCTTGACACCAGTAACCTCCTCCCACCAACGGCCAGGGCTGGATGAGCAGGGGCTGAGTGTCCCCCGGGGCCACCATCTAAGAACTGACTGTCGCTCCCACCACTTCATCTCTAAGCAGTTCCTCTTCTTCACCTGTGGGCTCCCGTTCATCCTTCACGGCTCAGCTCCTCTGGGAAGCCCCCCTCTGCCCACTCACATGGTGCTGGCTGGGTAACACACCATGGGTTCCCTTTGGGTTCCCACCTTTCCAGCTCTGGTAGAGCAGTGGTGACATCCTCTCCTACCAGTGTGCTCAGGGTCTGTGAGCTCCGCCAGGCCGGGCAGGCAGAGGGTTCCTAGCCTCCTTCATGTGCCCAGGTCTGGCACTGGAGGCGGCGGTGGGGCCACTTGGTCGGGGGTGTGAGACGGTGGGATGGAGACTCACCCTCCCCCAGCTGCAGGGCCGGGTCCATGAGCTCCATCATGTACTCCACGTCCAGGAGCATCTCTGTCAGGTTGCTGCGGGCCAGCACGTACATGAGCACGGGCAGGAAGTCGTCGGCCCCGTAGGGCTTCCCTGGATGGAGGAGGAGGAAGGAGAGGGCAGTGAGCTCTCTCTGGGAGCCCGCCCCTGCCATGCTGGGTGGTCAGCCCGGAAGAGGACCCTTCCCACTCTGCCAGGCTTCTCAGGATACCGAGGGTGCTTGGTGGACTCAGCCCCCTGCCCACTCAGTTCTGGAAGAAGGAACTGAGAAAGTGGTCCCACCCCAGGGTGACTTGGTCATCAAATTCACATCACACTGATTCACAGCCCTGCCTTCCTTCTGGGCAGGTTCCCTGCATCCTTGACCACATCTCCCTCCCCAGCTGCAAAACAGCTCTTCCTGATCACACAGCAAGCCCGAGATCCCAGCAGCACACGGCTACACTCGGTGAGGTTCAGCTTTTCCAGGCTGGGTTCCCTGAAAGTGGCTGGAAGGATAACTCGTGCCTCTGCCTGAGGCAGAGAGGCTCACGGGACTCAGGAGCACAGCAGATGTGGCCACCGAGACAGAGAGAGGGCAGGGAGTAGGGCAGTGGTGGGTCCAAGGGTACCTGAAGACCACCCGGGACAGCACAGAACCAAGGGCTAACCCTGAAGGGGCCGAATTCCAACAGGGCCAGCGTGGGCCAGGTCCTTCTCGGCATCCTGGTCTGCCTTGTGAGACACGGGGACAGGGAGCCTGACCAAGCAGCCTGCATAATGGTCACGCTGGGTCCCCAACCCAGCTTCTCACTCCTAACATGGGGAGGCCAGGGTTCAGGCTGCACTCAAGGGGCACCACCAGGTCTGCGTGTGACCCCTGAGAGGGCTGAGGCATCACTGTGGTCTCAACCCCATGTGTCAGCCCAACACATGCCAGCAATTCATGGTTCTTTCAAAAAGTTTACTCCTACTTGACATCTTTTACAAAGCATTTGGTGGCCACTGGGAAATGGACCCGATAAAAGAGGAAAGTCTAAATAAAAATGTAAACTTGCAGGCCAGGTGTGGTAGCATACACCTGTAATTCCAGCACTCTGGGAGGCTGAGGCAGGAGGATCAAAAATTTAAGTCCAGCCTGGACAACTTAGGGACTCAGTGAGATCCTGTTTCAAAATAAAAAATAAAAAAGGGCTGGGGATGTAGCACATTGTGAAGGCCCTGGGTTCAATCTGCAATAGTGAAAAAAAAAAAAAAAAGAGAGAGTAAACATCAGGACAAATATAAATTACAAGAGGAACTGAATTATATGAAAAATAAAAACACAAATAAGCAAGAACCTACACAACTGCTCCCGCAGAGTAACAAAATTAACTTTGAGTTTCCTTGTGGCCAAAGCAAAGAAGGAAACATGATCAGTTCCATTCTACTCATTGTCTAGGAGAAGCAGCTGGCCCTTGGAGCAGACCCATTTTTGTTTAATCCTTAGCTATAAAATAGAATTTTCACACATAGGGGACCTGAGGCATGACTGGCAAGCTCCTAGGTACACCAGGGAGTGCTTCCTTCAGTGGGCGTCATGGCTGCAGCCTAAGGTGAGCCGCTGATGGGGGAGAACACGTTCCATAGTCAAAGATGCAGCTTCTCCTTGTTCCTCAAAACAGATAAAGCAGGCCGTGTTTTGCCCACCTTCCTGCATAAAAGACCTCAGAGAGCTCATGTGACTGTCCCATGGCCAGCCAAATTCTGAATTCCTGAGCGATACAGGTGAGAGGCTGGGCCTCTGCCGTAGGCCTGGGTTCAAATCCCAACTCCGCCACTCACAGGCTGTGGGCCAGGGGAGGTCCTTTTTCTCCTCTAACCTTGGCAGAGAGGTTTTAGAATTAGGTGCCAGGGATAAGTGAAATGACACAGGCAGCCAGTGCCACGTTGACAGATTGAGGCCTGAGACAAAAGGGGAAAGTGTGCTTCTATAGGTTTTATTTTGGTAGTACCGGGGATTGAACTGCATGGGGCTCTAACCCTGAGCTACATCCCAGCCCTTATTTGAAACAAGGTCTTGCTAAGTTGCTAAGTTGCACAGGCAGGACTTGAACTTGTAATCTTCCTGCCGTGGCCTCCCTGGGTCACGTCCATGTCTTCTGTAGGTATTTATCATAATATCCTCCCATAGGTAGAACCAGGTGGAGAAACAATTAACAAATGCTCTACAATTTAAAAAAAAAAAAAACCCCACTGCGTGTAAAACCCTGTGTTAATTTGTCTGCACCCCGTTGTTAGTGCTCATAAACACACCAGGGCCCAGAAACTATGGGCTGGTTAGAAGCAATCACTTCTGTTGCACAGTGAGCCTGTATTTATTTAAAATGTTGGCATCTTGCTCATCGTGGATTTGCACAGTAATTTTTGTTTAAAAATATTTCATTAAAGTAGTACTCATGTTGCCATATGACCGGAGATTCCCCCTTAAATTATATATCCCAGAGAGGGAAGACATATTTCCACCTAATGACTTGTGTGCAGCTCCCAGCGGCAGTCTCGGTGATGGCCAACCAGTGAGAACAGCCCGAATGCCCATCAACTGGTAAATGCAGACAGAGGGGTCCATGTGTACAATGGGAGGCTGCATGGTCATGCACAGGAGCAAACTAGTGATGTGTGGCAGGATGTGATGATATCACGAAAATGTTATCTTCTGGCAGAAGCCAGCCACAAAAGACCATACACTGCCTGATTCCATTGATAGAAAATGTCCAGGATAAGCAAATCTAGAGACAGAAAGCAGGCTGGCGTTGCCAGGGGATGGTGGGAAGTGGGAATGTATAGTGACTGCTAGTGGGGACAGAGTTTCTTTTTGGGGTGATGAACATGTTCAAAATTAGAGTATTAGGAAATACAACCTTGTGCATATACTAAAAACCACTGAATTAAAAAAATGTGTATATGCACACATACAAATGTATCTTGGTTACTGAGATTTTAGGGTGCCCCTTACATTGTGTCCCTAAAGGGAGTGTCTCACTTCACCCAAATCCTGGCCCTGTAGGTGGCTCTCAGGGCAGGGATGACACAAAAAGAGCACTGGCTAACTGCCAGACATTGCAGTGGGCAGTAGTGTGGGCCCTGCACATGTGGCAGTGGAGGAAGGGAGTCATAGCTGGTCCCTGCCCTCAGGACCCTCCCAAGCGAAGGCCAACTGCCAAGCCAGGGACTGCGATTTCAGGGTTAGACAACTGGCCAAAGAGGACCTCGCCTCTTTGCCTCCTTCTCCTTGCTCATTTTCTATTTTCGTAATAACAGAACCTCTGACTTAGGTTGAACATGGCCTCCAAGAGTAAAGACTGCATTTCCCAGCTTCCCTTGCAGCTAGGTACAGCCATATATCTAAGTTTTAGCTAATGAGACTCAAGAGGGAAGTGGCATATTCAACTTCCAGGTCACACTCTTGAGGGGGAGGAGCATGTGGATAAAGAAAAGCTCAAGCATGGGGGAGCAAGAAAGTGAGAGAAGCCTGGTTCCCTGAGGACCTTGTGGAGGAGAGGTATCCTGTCAGCCTGCACCACAACAAGCCATGAAAAACATTCAGTTTTGTGTAAGTCACTGTGGTATGTAGGTGAGTCACCAGAACACAAGCTGCCAACATCACTGGACGGGCACCCAGTTAGTGGCCAGAGCAGCCACTGCACGCCTGCTCATGCAACCACCTCTCCCTAAGCAGCCTGCCCCTCTGTCTTTCCAAAGAACACCGTGCCCTATTTCCTGCCCTCTTCGCTACTCTCTGTTTCTTTATCAGCAAACTGGGACCAGCAACACCTGCTCTGACGGCCTTTCAGAGTTTTTGAGAGAATATGATGTGAAAAAGAATATGAACTTGGCTGGGGATTTAGCTCAGCAGTTCCACCACCTGCCTTGCAAGCACAAGGACCCGAGTTTGATCCCCAGTACCAAAAAAAAAAAAAAAAAAAAAA